TCCCTAGATGCAAGGATAACTCGTCACCTGACATGCTATCTGCCATTGTAGAGGGAAAGGTAGACTGCATAAACTTCCTAGAATGTTCACAGAAAAAAAAAATTGACTTAGGCTGTCCAAATGTTACATTCCGTACTAGAGAGCCATTGCCAAAATTAAAAGGCAAGCCGCTTGCCTTTTAATTTTGTGTACCAACACAACACAGTTGTGTACCAACTCATTGTAGTTTCCAATTATTCAGTGCACTGGTGTATATATAGACGCTTTACTTTTGCGGTCAGATGTTAGAAAGAAAGAGAGAAAGAAAACGACTTTGAAGAGAATCAACGGCAGGTCGACTCAGGCCCTGTCTCCAACAAAGTAAAAAATAATTCCAGCTGAGATATTTCGGCTTGATTCGTCCCAGACTATTCGAATATAATGTATGTGGAAGGAATCTTGAATTTATGTAGCTGTTGCACACATGATTGTTGATGATTGCTTAGTGTGCAGTTTTCTTTTTCGCCAAAATCTACAGAACAAATGGTTATCTTGGTATATAGTTTCTACTAACCTGGTGGGGCTCCTGCTTAGCGTTTGCGTTTGCACTTTACGATCTGCCATTATAAGTTAATGATCACCCAACACAAAAATCTCAAGCTGTATGGTTCCTGCTCATATAGACATAACGTCACCACACTTTCCCTGCTGTAAGTTGTGAAGACACGCCACAGCATAAAGCCTCTGAGGAAACTGTATCCATTGATTCAAGTCGAGATCATCAAATTAATGTAGATTGAAATAATACCTATAAATTGAAATGTACAACCAACTGTTCATGTTACTTTCAACTTGTTTATTAGGAACGACTGAATCTCCAAGAGCCGCCGGTGAACTAACAAACGCTATGATTGGTCCAAACGCAGACAGCCCTTTGGGAGAAACCAATCACACGAAGTGTTATAGTTGAACGAGCCCGCAAACAAAGCGGTTACATAAACATACGTGTAGATTTCAAAATGGCGTCAGTTTGATCACCTGAAATAACTTGAAAGTGTTGCTTCGCATTTCCCCGCGATCTTGGGGTTTTACGTAAAAGCGACCATGTTTTCCCTGTAGTTACGATGTCTCACCATCACACCATCTATCATGGACTGCTCAGCCAAATGTCGCCTGGCTAAACACGCCGATTTCAACTTTTCTGCCCTCATAAACATCACACCACACGATGAAGCTAAAGTTCGTGCGATCTTACCCCGATTTTGCTCCAATTTTGCTCGAGTTAAAGATCAGATTTATTTTGCTTTATTTTGTTTCTTTTTTTCTTTCCCTCGCACACATCTCCCTGGCTTCTTTCTTGCTGCTTTACTAAAAATAAACAAAAATGACTGGTACACAGGCTAGGGAAAGGCAGAAAAATAATGTTTTTAGTTTTATCAAGTCGATAGAATGGTCTAATTTACCGCCAATTTAAAAAACCGTAAGACAGGCATTTTGAGCACTTTCCTTTTAACAGAGTGCAAATCAACTGATTATGGGAGAGATTGACAGAAATCATTCATTTTTCATTTTATAACAATCACAATAACCAATTTTTATACTGACCTTGTTTAGGTCAGTTTGTATTCCACTCTTGAACTGGCGGTCATTAAGTACAAACGATCTTGGAAGCTTATGAGAAACTTTGTGCCGCACCTCTTGCTGAAAAACAATAATTTTGCCTTCATCACTTGTTTTTTGTTTAATATTTATTTCTAATGGGAAAATACATAGAACTGGAGGCAGTCTCTATAAAATAACCTGCACATTACCTCTAGGTCTTGCGACAATTTAGCTTCCTCTTCTAAATAAGCCTGTCTTTGTTGGAAGGTCTTCTTCTGCTTCTCAATTTTATCCTGCAATGCTTTCTTATATTCGGTCTTGTAGTATTCACGCAATAAAAGAAGCCCCTTAATCAAATCGTCATGTTCCTGAGGGAGAAATTTTGATAATAATTAATGGATGGACAAAAAATGTGCTGGCATGTACTCAATGTATATGAAGTTTAGAAGTCTTCTGGTTGTCACATGCCTTTCTTTCTTTCTTTCTTTTTTTTTGGCTCTATTAATAATGTACCATCTGTTCTTAATGTATAGACAATAGCATATTGTATTCTAGCTTATAAAATTTCTCACAGTTTTTTATTGTCATTGTAATAATTATCATTATCATAATTACATGTGTATCATGAGTACATTTATGATTATAAATTATTCTATCTTACGTTTATTTCTAGTTTGAAACTTCATGTACACCCACCTCTTTAGTTATTAATGTCCAAAACACTAAACTCAGTTTTTTCCAGTAAGATTTAAATTAAGTAAGTTCCCCCATCCCACCAAAACAAAACACGCCTAATAGATTTAACAGATAAGTCACTAATATGTAGAGTACAAAATGTGACAGAATAGTTAAGAATTCATGATAGTACAATATAATCAAAGGCATTCTACCTTTTCTTTTATCTTCTTCAAATTTTCTTCTTCATACTCGTCCAGATCATCTTCATCTGCAGTTGTGACAGTTTCTTTTTTCTTAACAGGCATCTGCTCAGTTCCCTGCAGAATCACTCCATGATAGGACTGCTGGTTTTTGAATTTACTGAACTTTCTTTTCACTGTTTTTTCTTTATTCTAGCAAAAAAGGAAACACAATGAAGTACATGCATCACATAACAATACATGCACTCCGATCTCCAGACATAAAAATTTTACCAGTGAAGTGAGCAAGTCAATTAGAAAGGAAAAACTCGGGGACACCTGCAAAAAGGTTTAATACTGTAACAGCAATATCATTTTGGAGATACAGTGTAGTTATATACTACTTATTAACTGAGAGTGAGGTCATTACAGGGAAATCACAGACTGAGGCCTGGCCAGCGGATAACTTTAAGAAAAATACATGTCACCTCAATGAGTTGTAAACTTGAGCCTGCAATACAGGCAGGTGACACTGGTCAGTAGATGCCCTTTTTGACAGCTGTCTTTTGGTCCATAAGGATATCCACTATCAATAACACAGATTGTATATGCCTTGGACATCTAGCTAGTAATTCCCCATGATTACAAGAATCAGCCAATCAGAGTGCCTATATTACTGTAGCCATATAATAAACAAAAATATCTAAATGTATTGTAATAAATGAATTATCAGGGAGAACCCACCTCTCCACCAGTCCCAATTAATGTTCTATAATTTGTCAACAGTAGCAAGCTCATTGACCTGTCTTATGGGGGTTGACAACTCTAACACACATTGTTTGGGCAGTCCTATGAATTTACAGCAAGTCCTCCCAGAGATTTGGCAGACAGTCCTGAATTCGTTGGTATTTTCGGTATTTTTTACTTTTGGCATACCTATGAAAAAACTCCCCTAAATTGTTAATTTAGAGTCAATTTGACACTTGTTAATTATCTAACTTTTTATGAAGTCTCTAATCTTAGTTATTTTTCCGTTTAGAGGAGTCGTATGTGTATAGTCTGTAATCAAGGGTTTTTGACAGTATCAATGTTAAAACAGACAGAATGACCTATCTTTTACTATAGTACAGCTGTATGTAATTTTTTTTTTCACACTGAGGGTATATGCCCAGCAGTTGGGAAGGGTCTTACAAGAAGCAAATGCGCGGAAGTAAGAAAATTTTCTAGATTTCTAATCATGATTGCTGAGTGTTGTGGTTTCTTGGGCACAGAGTAGAGCCGGCATCATTTTGACACTATAAAGAAATAATTGGTATGTAAAATTTTCTATTTTCCAAACACATATATACTGTAACATCAAATCTTAACTTAATGGATCAAAATAAATCTTTGCTCAGTGTCCCCAAAATATCTCATCATACTTCCCGGAAAATTTTCCAGGTTTCCTGATTCCAGGCAAAATCTAACGATTCCCGGAATAAACTTGTTTTTCTCCCAAAACAGCCTTTGTTTGAGCTGTCACCCCCATTGTCCTTGAAAGATCAGAAAATCAATTGTAGTTATTATATACCACCTCCACTGCAGGCTCTGGTTCTTTGTATTTCTCATTCTGAAGTGCCACTTGTCTCCCTAGATGCAAGGATAACTCGTCACCTGACATGCTATCTGCCATTGTAGAGGGAAAGGTAGACTGCATAAACTTCCTAGAATGTTCACAGAAAAAAAAAATTGACTTAGGCTGTCCAAATGTTACATTCCGTACTAGAGAGCCATTGCCAAAATTAAAAGGCAAGCTGTACCAACTCATTGTAGTTTCCAATTATTCAGTGCACTGGTGTATATATAGACGCTTTACTTTTGCGGTCAGATGTTAGAAAGAAAGAGAGAAAGAAAACGACTTTGAAGAGAATCAAAGGCAGGTCGACTCAGGCCCTGTCTCCAACAAAGTAAAAAATAATTCCAGCTGAGATATTTCGGCTTGATTCGTCCCAGACTATTCGAATATAATGTATGTGGAAGGAATCTTGAATTTCCGTAGCTGTTGCACACATGATTGTTGACGATTGCTTTAATAGTCTGCAGTTTTCTTTTTCGCCAAAATCTACAGAACAAATGGTTATCTTGGTATATAGTTTCTACTAACCTGGTGGGGCTCCTGCTTAGCGTTTGCACTTTACGATCTGCCATAGTTAATGATCAGGCAACACAAAAATCTCAAGCTGTATGGTTCCTGCCCATATAGACATAACGTCACCACACTTTCCCTGCTGTAAGTTGTGAAGACACGCCACAGCATAAAACCTCTGAGGAAACTGTATAGATATCCATTGATTCAAGTCGAGATCATCAAATTAATGTAGATTGAAATAATACATACAAATTGAAATGTACAGCCAACTGTTCATGTTACTTTCAACTTGTTTATTAGGAACGACTGAATCTCCAAGAGCCGCCAGTGAACTAACAAACGCTATGATTGGTCCAAACGCAGACGGCCCTTTGGGAGAAACCAATCACACGAAGTGTTATAGTTGAACGAGCCCGCAAACAAAGCGGTTACATAAACATACGTGTAGATTTCAAAATGGCGTCAGTTTGATCGCCTGAAATAACTTGAAAGTGTTGCTTCGCATTTCTCCACGATCTTGGGGTTTTACGTAAAAGCGACCATGTTTTCCCTGTAGTTACGATGTCTCACCATCACACCATCTATCATGGACTGCTCACCCAAATGTCGCCTGGCTAAACACGCCGATTTCAACTTTTCTGCCCTCATAAACATCACACCACACGATGAAGCTAAAGTTCGTGCGATCTTACCCCGATTTTGCTCCAATTTTGCTCGAGTTAAAGATCAGTGTGGTCGTAATGTTCTGCACTTGGCGGCTTCATGCGGCAAATGCGACATTTTGGAGTGGCTTGTGAAAGAAGAAGGAGCTGATTTGGATTCTAAAGATCTAGAATCGGGTTGGACTCCATTGCATCGCAGTTTGTTCTACGGTTATCTTGAGTGTGCGGTAAAACTAACTCAGGTGGGTCTGGAAATTGCAATTAAGCATCATTATTTGCAATTATAAAATGTGCATAAGTTAGGGCTCGCATTCACCAATAAACAAAAAAAAATAATAATAAACAAATGAACCAACGGACGCACGTCTGGTCTGCTGATGAGGTTCGCACTACTGTGCCGGCTCAATTAGTTTGTGCCGTTACAGAAATCGATTTGGTACTGAAAATGTGATCACAGTCAAAGGTTGTTTTCATTACACTGAAGTAACTTTGATGATTAGTCGCATTCAATTTTGTATTTAAAAGCACTTAATCTCATAGCACACTATAACGCCTTTCACCCCCTCACAATGAGTTGTATGGAAATTTTACCTAGTTTTTTAAATGTTATTTCTGTGAAGCTTGGCTCAGATCCTAGTTGCCTTGACAAGGAAGGTCTCTGTCCATTGGATCTGGTTCAACTGGACTCACCATTCCAAATTCAGTCAGGAGGTGAGTGTACATTAACAGCGAGAAGGTAAATTTAATTAATAGTGTTATTATAGCAGGTCTTAAGAAAAAGCTTGAATTCCAGCTTCTCCTTTGGGTAAATTGAGCTTTCACATTAATTGTTTTTTCTTGCCCAGGGCAACTACTTATACTTGTCTTAGTTAATGATTTAGTTGGAGGGTGACTAGCTTACTGGGACCTTTACCCATCGGGCAAGTAAAATTCAAAACTTTAAAGTTACTTGCCTATTAGCAAGAAATACTACTAGTCCTGGACTACCAGACATGACAGGACTTTTGTCAAGCCCTGTATTATACAAATAAACCCATTCACAGAGATGAGTATAGGGGAGGGGCCTGAGAGGCCGATGGAGCCACCGACTAAAGCAGAGTGCATTGCATAACCTTGACAGCCTTGAGTGGCATCCACCCAGGCGCCGTCACTCTGCTAACCAGTAGAACCTAACATACATATACTTACCCTTCCCTCCCTATGGTAAGTATGCATGGTAGGGAGCAGAAAAACACTTGCCAGAACAATAGCCACAATCAGCAACCAAACACAAATGTAGTGGCCTGACATTGAGAGAATAGCTGTAAAAATACCCGCAAGCGGCCAGTGTTCTCCTTATCAGGCAGTAACCGGTAAAATGTACCACCTGAAGCAACACTTCTTACTGCCTGCAACTGTTTGAAGGTTTACTAAAATTATATAATTAACTGAAAAAAAATACGCAAGTTGTGATCCAATCCAATCAAGGAAATTAATGAAAACTTATATGGAAAAGTACCAAAGTATACACAGCTTTTCTTGACTTTCTTACTATGGGTCACGCATTTTGGAAAGAGAGCATTGAAAACAGAGTAAGATTATTGGAATGAAATGTTTTAAATTGTTGTCTAGAGGTAACAATGGTCGATTTGGGTAAAATAGGTCTAAAAATTAGGGAATGACATTTCAAAGAACTTAGCTCCTTCTAGGGTGGGGCCATGTCTCTCACTCCACTACCCACAAAATTTAGGGAGAACACTGGCAGCCCCACATATCACTGATGTTTGCATCAGTTTAGCTGTAGGTTATTAATAAAATACAGGAGTCACATCCTGGGTCCGACTATTAATCTCCTAACAATCATATGTAAACTCTCTTCTCAGTATTTAAAACACATGCAACTATTATTGTTCTATCAGTGTCACTTTGATTGACTTTCTAAAATCTGGAGCATCATTTAATTCCATTTTTTATTTCTTACAATGTAATTTATAGTGCATGCTAAAGTTGTTTCATCATACAAAACTTCTTTGGAAGATGAACTCAAGTTAGAGGTTGGTGATGTCATAAGGGATGTTCATATGACACAGGATAAATACTGGACTGGTGTTATGAGAGGCAAGAGAGGACATTTTCCAAAAGATTGTGTAAAGCTTCTACTAAAAGGTATTTGTGTCTTATTCCTGTATTATTATGCAAATCACATGTTTGCTTCAAACCAACTGTTTTTGTTTTGTTTTGTTTTGTTTTGTTTTTTGTGCATGCATGAGTACGCTACAATCTTGGACAAAACTGTTGAGAAAATTGCGTACTTGGGCGGCATTTTTTTCTAAACTTCGTAGCCGACTGATTCTTACCTCTCCCTTTCCCTCTGGAAGCAGTGTTGTTCGGTCTTCAAAAGAAAGCCGAATCCCTAGGCATTTGTACGTAGGAAGCAACTTTGAACTGGGGGAGGGGGTTTTCTTTATGCAAAGCTGTTGATTTGGAAATAGTTTTGTTGCGTTAGGAAGTGCGCATTAATGAAAACATTTTCTCAAGTAGTTTTGTCTAGGATTGTAGAATAAATAAAATTACATGTATTATTTCCTTCATTTTCTTGTTCACTCATACCAACAAGATAGTGCTTAACAATATCCATTCCAACAGACCATCAACTGGAGCTGTTCACTTGGGGATCAAACACGAACTTCACTCTGGGTCACAAAGATGAAAGTACAAGATACACACCTGAAATCCTTGAATGCCTAACTGAAGATGTAAAACTTTGCGTCAAGGAGGTACAATTTTATTGCCAGTATAAACAGAAAATTTCAGGACATACAAGTTTGGATTATATTTTTATTTATGTTTATGCTAAAATTAGTTGCTATCTTTTTGTTTGCTTACTGGATGTTTGCTTGTTTTAATTGTGTCAGGTTGTAATGTGCAAGTTTCATTCTGTATTCTTGAGTGTTGATGGGAGAGTTTTCACCTGTGGTCATGGCAGAGGAGGACGACTGGGACATGGCAATGAAAAGACTCTTCTGGTAATTTTGAACTCGATTGTACACACGATACGAGTCAACTCTGTAACTTTTATAACTGCTACTTGTGTTGATACCTGCAAATGTTATTTTTTTAAACTTACAGTATGCACCTTATTTTTTACCAACCTGGAACATTAGCCAGTGAGTTTACATTGATACCAGGTGTCAAAGAATAATCAGTTTGCAAGATAAGGCCTTGCTGAAAATTATAATGATAACATTTTTTGTCAAACATCTACTGTACACTTTAATTATGTGCTGTACCTTAATTTTCTAGGGAGAAAGGGAGAAAACATAATAATTCTGTCAACACTTAGTTAAATAGAATATTAAAGTTTCTACTTGTGGCATAATTAGCTAGCCATGCCAAAGCAGGTGCAGCCTCTCCACTATACAGTGTGTTCATATTCATCCTACTGATGCGTCTGATGCGTACCAACGAACTTCACTGTATATTGAACTCACAGACTGAGCTGTAATTAAGCTGAATAACTATATTATACTTTTTGTAGATGTTACCTTTTAAACAATTTTATGTTTGCACATTAATCCATTCAAAATACCAGGATTTACACTGTGCAAAAGACCCACACAACATGGCAGAAGAATGTAAATTTATTTGTTGACCTTGCTCTTGTTACAGGAGCCACAGGAGGTTACAGCCTTAAAAGATGTTAAGTGTTTGTCACTTGCTGCTGGGCAGGACCATACAGTGGTGGTTACAGATGAGTAAGTGATGGTAAATAAAGATGTGTGTAATGAGAAGGAAGGAGGTACATTTACTGTTTAGCTAGAGTGTCACATGCACTGCACAAACAAATAAAGACTGACATTAGTCAAACCAGACTTATGTTTAATCCTGCCAACATCACACAACAGTTATTTGGTTATGTTTGGGTGTTTTAAAATGCCTTGTGTTCAGAACAGTTGAATGGCTGTTTTTGTGGCTGCCATAATGTTTACAGTGGTTACCTCTGACCGATATAAGCTTGGGCACATTTTACATGTATACACACTCCCTATATTTTTGACGTGAATATTTCTTAACATTGCTTTTCCCAGTGCTTTGCAAACTATGCAAAGTTTACTTCAGAAAGGTGTCAAAGAAGCAGCTAAAGATAAGGGGTAGATTTAGTTTGGCTTTTAGAGGTGAAAGAAGAACTGTAATAACATGGCAGTTTCCATTTTAAATCGACAGAATGGGGACTCGTGTTTATGTTATTGTTGTGGAAGAAAAGAAAGTTTTGAAATGAAGAACAAATAGAGGAAACAAGCAGCTGGTTATATTTACCTTAGTTTATAGTAGAAATTCCAGAACAAATAATTCCTTTTCTCTTCGAAAAGCTATCATCTTCAAGCGAAACCTGAAAATATGAGATTATGCCATCACTGGACTAGGTTTGTTTTTGCATGAGCATAAAATGTCCAAAACATTCTTTCTTTATCATGACATTAAAGAAAAGAAAAAATTCCTGGCGACCACTTTATGCCATCTGGTGAGCAAAAATTTTTATTAAGTCGCCAGATGATGCCTGTATCAGAAATTTAATTTTGGACCCTGTGCCCCTTGTATACCTAGTGGAGGACAGAGACATGAAGACCTCCCTACTTACCTCCCTCCTGCCCTCTAGGTAGATTTGACACTCTTCCACTGGCCCTGGATGTCAAAACATTGGATAGCAACCCTCCAAGTTGCGACCATCTTGGTTGCCATGGCGCCTCAAATTTTGGAGCTGGCGAATTGATTTGTAAAAAAGTCTCCCTAAACCAAAAGGGTTGGTTGCCAAATGGTGCCCAAGCAAAAAGTTTAACTTAGAGGGCTGGATAGTGCTATCCACCAGACCAATCACTATCCAGCTGATAAATAGTAGGGAAATCAATAAGTGTTATCCACTGGATAGAGATTTATCTGGCCGGGGTTGTTCAAACGTTGTATAGTGCTTTCCACCAGATAAATCACTATCCAGTGGATAAGTATTAGGAAAACTAATTGCGCTATCCTCCTTTTGAACAATCAGGGCCTGGCAGATAGCACTATCCACCTCTTAACAACTTGGGCCAGGTTATTTCGGGTACATTTGAAACCAAGATGGTGGCTTGTGCAGATAGTGCTAGATATCAACAATCTTAAAGAAAAAGTTTGGGGCTGTGAAGTCTCTGAATGCTGAATAGCAAAGTCAGAAAGTGCACTAATAGCTGGTGGCAATTTGTTTCTCTATTTCGATCTATCATCCAGAACAACTGCAATAATGAATTAGCTGTTTACACTTCAGCTTTACAATTCGGTGTAAAGGGCGCAAGTGGAGGAGCTTGCTTTCAGCTGACCAACTTAGTAACACATAACTCCAAAAAGTGAGCAACACGACAGCACAAGACACTCAAAAAATGCGGAAACTTTTGTCTCCAGTTGGTTAAAAAGTTATAACATAATTGTTTTGATTTATATATTATTTTTTATCTTTAGTGGCTCAGTGTACACATTTGGTCTCAATGATTCTCATCAACTTGGACAAGTACCTCCTCCAAAGCAGTGTCTTTGTCCCAGGATGGTAACTAATCACATAATTTATCATTTCGGGTGGTAATTCTCCTTTTTTCTGTCTCATAAGAGAATTTGTACTACGGTTTTTCTTTCTGTGGTGTAAGAAAAGAAAAAAAAATTGATTGCAGTAAAAATAAACTTTATTAGCAATGGGAAATAGACCATGATGTGAGTTAAAGGCCCTATTCACGCTAGAGGTGGATTATCCTTCTGAGACGGGTTATCCGTTGGATAATTCGTGTCAGACAGATAATATGTCTTAATTTGAAAATAGAAAGGTCTGAATTTTGGATGGACAACTCAATTTATCCATCTGTTTTCCGTCAATTTTGACGGATTTTGATGAAGGATTGTCCGTCTCAGATGGATAATATGTCTAGTAGTGTGAAAATGGTCAATCTGACAATAGAGACTTTAAGAGCCAATGACGCAGACAGCAACGAGAACGTCAAAAAACAATGGGTTTTATAAGCAAAACAACAACTCTGCACATGCATCATGCTTTTTTTACGTTTCTTTGCCTGTTTTTGCACGACTACAACATGAACCGCTTTTATGGAGTTAGTAACAAAAAACGACGAAATTTTATTTCTCTTTCTGAACTTGGATATGCCCTGTAGGAATTCAACTCCAGTTTGGTTCGCCTACATTTGACAAAGTAAGTGGGTAGGAATAATTGCGATAAAGGCTGAAAGAACGTAAATTCACTTTTTAAGCGACGTTTTCATTGCCTTCGCGTCACTGGATCTTAAAACCCCTAATATTATTCACCTGCAGTTGCAAATAAAGATGTGGAAGGGCAAAGAGTTCATTGGAGCTGCAGCAGGTCGTTGTCATTCAGTATTTTTCACTCGAAATGAGGTGTACAGCTGTGGTTTAAATGCTGGGCAACTTGGTAAGGTTTGTCCACTATTACCTTGCATTACCTGTACCATATGTTCAGCTGTAGCTTTAGGGTACGGTTGATCGATCATATTCTTGAATAATAATAGACAGTTCTAAAGTTGTGGCCAATCTCTGCAAAAGTTTTGGACCATCAAGATTTTTGTGTTTTACCATGGAATGGAGCATACCCTTGAAACACCACTGTATAATTTATTTCTTAATATGGAGACCTCCTAGTCACAGGTTTTGGCAAGGAGGGGTTAGTTTGTAAGTAAATGGCTGACATCAGAAGAAAAATAATGTTCCATTTTTGTGCCAGTGTTTTTCCCATTTTCTTGTTCTTGTTTTTGTTCTTTTTCCTTTTTTTTATATTAACTAGGAACACCCTATGCCTTAATTGACTTGGCGGAATCCATGGCTCCTTACTCTTCAAGACATTTCTCAGGTTATGGTGTTTTAAAATGAATCTGTGGTTGTTTCTGTCACAGGTCATCCAAAAGGAGAAACGTACCAAATGATACCACGTCAGGTAATTAAACATTTCTTTTCACATGCTATAAAGAGTAAAGCTACTAGTTAACTGACTTTATGTTTGGTATTCCCTTTTGCACTTTGTCTGCCTAAATTACAGGTTAGCAGTCTAGCGGACAAGACTGTTATTATTAGTAAAGTGACCTGCAGTGATGCAGCCACAGTCTGCGCCACAAGCAAAGGAGACATCTATTTACTGAACCAGTATATTTGCCGGAGGATCATATCAAGGTATGGTAATCATCAAGGTATGGTAATCATAACTGATCTTCAGCAACAGGGTGGCAGAAAGAAGGGGATGGCAAAACGTTTGTGTTCGGCAAATTTCACAGGGCTATTACTTTTGTGCCTTTTTTTTGTTGTTGTTTGCAGTCGTCACTTAACATTGCTGTGTTCTGGACTTTTGCTAAAAAGTCTTTTTAAAGGAAGTTAAAGTTTAGTGGAATTTCTTTTCAAATATTCAACAATTTTGTTACGCTTTCACACGAGGTTTTGTCGTCTTCTTTCTTCTGCCATTCTGATGCGTAACTTCAGGATTATTTGCTCTCTCTCCATATACGCGTAAAAAAGCTTCACATGTATGTTCCTGTCATTGCTTTTGGACTTCCCCGTTTGGCCAGTACACCTGTAAATTGGTTTTGAAAACTGTCATTGTAAAAATTTCACGATGTGGTAAAAATACCATTTTTTTGCTATATTGCATGTAATTTATAGATCTCTTTAATACTAGTTCTAACTGACAAAATTCAACTCAACTTTCTATAAATAGGTTTACTGATTTGACTACCTTAGCAGTCACTGGGGGAAAGTTGGACGTGGCTTCCCCACAGAAGGCCAGGCAAGAGTTTGCTGATGAGATTACTGTAACTGTGCTCAACTCGAGGGGAACGGTAAGTCATTCTTTTAACACATGAGGTTTATTGATTTCATGCGTGTGTTTATGTCATGACTCTTCCTTTTTTTTAACCTATACTGTCCATTAGAGTGACGTTGTTGTTTCCTCAGTCCTCTGTTGTCGGTTCTTTCTTGTCTGTGCTACCACAGTGCATATCATACACAGTGCAATTATGTCCTTGATCTTCTAATCTTGTTATGGCTCTTCCTATCATTGCAAAACAAATATGTTTACTTCCGCTCTTCCTGTCATTGCAAAGCATGTTGCCAGTTTCTCGCGTGGGACCAGGATCCTTGGCGTTGATGCAAGTCAAGAATGTCAAGCGATTACTAAGTAGAGACGGGGAAAGCTAATTTTAGCTGCCTTCCTCCAAACGGAGAGTCGGTTCACAAGTTATACCTTTCTTTTACTATTACGTGGAGCTTCGTCTTTTTTTGCAGTCCTGTAATGCACGATCTCTTATCACCCTCATTGTTGCTGTTTTAATCTTTAAACACTCAAAGTTACTTTTCGACTCTTTATGTTGACACTTCATGCCATCGCAGTTATTGCTGTTATTGGGCCTTTCTACATGTATATACAGATATTGTGTAGATTAACAATCTATTAATGCTGGCTCATCCGACATTGAGGACCCACCATATTTTTCTGCTCATTTACACTTTTTTTTTTTAAGAACGCACCAGCCACTTTCTGATGCTTTTAAGTGACTCTTCTTTTTAGCAATCTTTGATCCTTTGATATCGTTTTCATTCTTCAGTATTGCAACTTGCTGATGTTAAGAAAATTTATGGCGCTATCAGTGTCCTTATAAATCTGGTTATTAATTTACAGCAGTAAAATAAATTTGTCTCCTCAGTTGTCCCAGTGGAAACCGATGTTTGGCTCACTGAGAGAATGCTGTTGGTATCACAACAGACCAATAACAGGTTTTTTAGAACTTTAGTATGCTGTTAATGCTTTGCTTATATTCCTTTCCTTTTTAATGTGATTTCTAATTGCAAAAAATTCTTTAACATCATGTTAGCAGATAGATTTTTAATACACGTCTGCACTCGTAAGGATTGTTGGTTCGGTAGTTGGTGGAGTAGTTGGTGGACGTGTTTGAAGCTCCTTTAATGGACTGGTATATTAACTCAGTTTGGTTATTTTCCTTAGTACGAGATTTTGCTGTTGGAAGGCAACTTCTTATTGTGTCTAGTAAGTTGAAAGAGATTTTCTATAGGCTTGTTTATTATTTTCTCTTGTGTTGAGTCTCCAATAGATTTACTACTTAAGTGATTACATGTGGCAGCAACCGTCTAATCTAAGTGCTCTCCTCTTACCATCCGGATATTATTTTTTTCTGTGAAAAATAACGAGAACAGCTTTCTGTACATACTTTGCTGTCTACTATGGCGTTGCGGTCACGTCACGTCCTTGACAATGTGGTTACGTGATGGTCAGTTAGGCCTAGTCCAAACATCAAACGTAAAAAAAAGGTTTAAAGGTTTGTTTATAGTGGAAAGTGCACTTAGCTTATGTAGCTAGTTTACAGGCACTCCACTCAAATGCTTAGAGACAAATAATTCAAATAAAACATAACATAACGTAGGGAATGGTCAGGGATTTGTTTCTGTTCCAGCGAATGGTATCCCGGAATCTCTTATGTTGCCCTTTATCTATCCTCTTCTTCTCAGACGATGGTGAAGCTTTCGTTTGCCAGCCTGGTGAAAAGAGTTTCAGTCCAACGAAAGTTGCTTCCCGGCGAAAACCATCTGTCTCCTCAACTTCGTCAGATACTGCACTGGCACAATCACCTCCCAAAACCACCCCACTCAGTAACTTTTCAGACGACAAAGATACATGTATAACGCTTACAAAGTCATTTTCTGACAGCACTCTCCTACGTTTACTTGTCAAAGAGACTTGCAAGAAAGAAGCTTTGTGGTATTGCCTTGAAAGGATTCCGTTCATTCATCGTGGACTACGCGTCTTTACAGACAGCAAATCTAAAGGTTTTGCTGTGCTTCAGATTTATGCCAGGGAGGGGTATGTTTTCAGTTCATTGTTAGTTTTATAACTAGCGATTCTTCACAATGTATGATTCACTTCCACTTCTGTTACTTGGTGTGCTTGGAGGGAAACTTGTATGTGGCACATACTTAGCGATCGCACAAGATTCAAGGTACCTCATGCTGAGCTTGACGTTCTAGTCTGCTAAAGAAATTCTATTGTATTAACACTCAGATCTTCCTCTTTGACATACAGTGAGCAATTTACAGAGTGTGGCGAAACGAAAATAGAGTATTAAGAGACGGTTATTGTAGAGCACCATGTATATTAATGGCTCAAAATTGATGCATGATCGATTCGCATTTGCTGAAATGAAATACGTTTTATTTATAGTCTGAAAAACGTACCCGAAGTGAGCAAAACGCAAGTTTGGAAAAACTTGATGCAGCTGTTAGAAGAAGCAACTAGTGAAGATGACATCCATGATGTTGAGTTTTTAGTAAGTTTGTCACACATGCATCTACTTTCACATAATGTCATTTTATGATTGAATCAACTTGTACTTTTTAACTTTTGTTTAGGATAAACTTTTGAGAACCATTGTTATGGGCTAGTTTTGGCAGATTTAGAAAAGACAACGCGACGGCAGTGACGACAGTACGCGCAAATAAAAAAAAATGGGCTTGACCAATGGTAGGGCGGCAAATTGGGCACCGGAAGTCGAGTTCAGCATTTTCTGCGCGCTTTCCCGTTCTCAACTGACGTTCCCGTTCTGTTGCTAAATCGCTCTAATATACGGTGTCCGGTAGGTGAAAAGAAATAATTGGAGTCTTTCTTAAAGGACACGATACCCTGTTGAACGGACTTGTAGAGTTAAACCTTGTGTTGTTGTTGACGTGTTTTATATTTCTTCGTACAAGTGGACCTATTTTGCATTGCATTGGGTCAACAGTCTCGTTTCCAGGCCAATACGCGTAATGTGATTAAGCGGGGGAGCCTTGGAACCCACCGCGATAGCCAATCCTCTACGAGACCAGATTGACGGGTGACGTCACATCCCGGCTAGCCACAGAGCGACTGGGTACGAGGCTGGCGTTTGGTTGAGTTACTTCCGTAATACTTGTCAAGAAAAGGAGAGAAAAAATAAAGGTAAAATACACAATAACAACCACAGCATTACTCCTTTAGGTTAAAGGACAGCCAATCGCAGCACATGGATTTGTTGTGGCTTCAAGAAGTCCTAAATGTCGCCAACTGATATGCAAAAACAAAGATACCATCCTACAAACATCAGTTAAATCGATACAAACCATATCATTACCTGAGAATAGAGATTACGGCTTTGCACTCAGCTGGTTGAAACGGCTTTATGGTGGTGAGGACATCAGCGATAAAGAGCTGTTCTCTAAAGACTTTTTTCCTTTGAGAGCCAAAAACGGCTTCCAGAGCATTGGACAAATCAAACAGGAGAAGAAAATGTCGAATGAAACAGACAAAACGAACAAAGAAAAGAATGTTCAACCACAAAATGATAACGAAAATATGATAGCTGGTCGCATGCTGTCCGACCTTATGTATTTGGCGGAACGAGACTTGGATAATTTTGGAGCACCGACTTTTGATTACGGAGACTCCTTGTTTGATGATTTTGAGGAAGGACTGGCTTCATACGCAGGGGATACGGAAGAAATGAAGACAAAATTACAGTCAAATACGTCAGATAGGTACATTGACTTAGTTAATGTAGTTACACATTATAAAGAACTATGTCAATTTGCTTTTATGCATGAAAAATGCCTGTCGTTTTCGTCTAGGTTTCATTTTCCTTATCTCTTGCGTCATTGGAGGAGAAATCAATGCACAGGCAAAAATTATAATTGTATTATTTTCTAGATAGAAAATGATTACTTCCTGTTTTTTGTCTAAAATGTATTCTAGTAAGTATACAAAACATTTCTCCGTTTTACTTCTATTTGGCACGCGTTGTTTGTACGGCGTAAAATTAATGGTTCAAAAAATTAAGATAATGAAAATTAAGATAATGGTTCACTGAGTAGCCTCGACTGCCGGACGGCCTCTTGAGTTTATCTACTGACGATTGCAACATACATGTATACGGCGCTCTGATGGGCTAAAATTTTACCGTGCATCTTTTTCTAACCAGTCGGAGAGAAAAAGAAAACTAGTCGCCACCAACAGAGAGGAAAAGTGTGAAATCACGTTAACAGGCTAGCAAATTCCTGGATCTCAACAATCGTCTTCACAGAGACGTCCGTTTGCATTGTCGAACGATGGAAGAACGCTATGGGCTACCGTTTTGTTCCTGAGAGCAATAATGCACGGGAAAGTCGTGCATGTCATTTTTTTTTTTGTCGTTTTTATCTGCCATATTTGTAGGAACGCGGTTTGTTGAGATAAAAAATAAATTGGTAACATGGCAATGCCACCGAAGACTTGTCTTCTCTATCTGGTAAGAGGTCCCAACTTCAACGATTGTAGCATGGGTTCGAGTCCCGGGTTCGACGCACTTTGTTTGTTGAGTTTTTAGTTGTTTCTCTTTCTCTGGATATCCCTGCAGTTTTCATCTCTCCTCAAAAACCAACAAGTCCAAATTGCAATTTCCATATAGAAAGTATCACCAATTCAAAAGACAGGGCCTCTTTGAGGGCCAGTGGTTCATCAGTTCTTGAAATTGACATGTGTCACCCGCTCTGAACAACGTGTAAGGTAGTCAGACAGACAGTCTGCAAAAGTGTTATTTTGTTGTCGAGATAATTATGTTAGTGCGAGGCAGATTTTAGTTACCCGTTATATGATTATCTTTAGTATTAACTTTGCCGGACATCATATCCGACCGCGGTTAAGATTTAGTCGGACGTGCGCTAATTTTCTTCAGACATTGAACGATGACCGACTGTTATTTGCAGCTGATTTGGCCAAAGCAGCAAATGTCCCAGTTTTAGCGAAAAAAGGACACTCTTAACTACTAGTGATTGGATTGTTGTCACTCTTGTTAGGGAAGACAAAGAGGCTGAACCATCCGACTGTCTGAAATCAGTTACACTATCTCGATCAAACTGGTAAGAAAGTCAGGGTTTTTTGTATAAAAAGGATTGTATGCTTGGTCTTTCTCAGCCTGTTCCAGGCGTTCAGATTGTGGGGACGGCGCAAAGAGATGAGTACTCCGTTAACACCGAGTACTTCGCGCCGTACTTGGTGTCTGAACGCCTGGGAAAGGCTAGGTCTTTCTTTCACAGCTTTGTTTTAAATATTTTGGAACCCGGTTCTTTTTAAGAGCATCAATTCGTTCTCATGCAATTTCGATGTTTTCCATTAGTCCCGAGCTTTACGATGTTGTGATTGTCTGTGAAGACGGAACTGCATTGCAATGCCACAAATGCATTCTTGTTGCTCAGCTTGGTACGTATCTACTTTAGACTTGATTTTAAACCAAACGTTTACTTAAAACCGAAAAGCAGGCATTGCATTGCCAGACGGAGAAGTTGTCTTCAGAACATATATCTAAACACGGACCATTTCCGCTTCTATGTTAAAAAAAAAGGAACAGGTGAATTTTTTTCTCTTTTTTAAGAGCTAAAGAAAGTTTTGTCCCATTGCTTTAATACCCTTTATGTCAGTTGGAACTGATAAAGCATACTCCTGTTTAATTTGAATTTATGTTTATTAAAACACAACGAAATCTATCCGGGCTTGGCTTTCTATCCAGAATGCCCTGCCACTTTTAGTGGTAATCTGATCAATAAATAAATTGAAAAAAAAATTACTTTGCTAATTGTTTTAGTTACAGATATATCATTGCAATTCATTTATTTATACTACTACATGAGAAATTTCTGCAATTTGATTGGCTTAGAGCAATTTGAAAATCCTACATGTGAAAATTACGAATCTTTTGCGGGTAGTAGTATAAACAAATAATAGCATAATTTGTACGTGATATTTGGCACTCGTGGTATTTCAAAATTGCTTCAAATGTCAAGATATCACTCGTGGTATTTATGCAAAATATCACTACAAATAATGCTATTACCTATACTAATTTCGCATGTGCCTTTTGCAGATTATTTCCGAAGCATGCTTGCAAGTGGCTGGTTAGAGGTAATGGAACAACTGCTTTCCCTTCTTTATCAGCCCTTTTTTCTTTATAACCCGCAAGAACAGATCAATTTACCGATCTTTATGATTTAATCCACTCTTAGACTAGCCAGCATTCCACATCCTTAAAGCTGCCATTCCCAGGTGATGTTATGGAAATTGTGTTGGATTTTCTCTACTCTGGACAACCAGGAAAAGTTAAAGGCGAGTTCTTTACCCGTGTCCGTGTTCTGCTGCTTATGTTTCTCGGAAGTATTTCAGGTGTACGTATGACAAAGCATCCTTCGCCTGCAGGTTTCCTTTGGTTTTAGTATCTAAAAGAAGCGTTTATAAAGACAACAGCATTTATTAATATTTCCTTCAGCACATTATATTACCTGATCTGAGTGCTGACCTGCAAAATGGCATAAGTGGTTCAGACCTAAAGAAAAAATTAAAGATATTTACAGACAGTTGTCAAGAAAAAAAAAACAGAGATAACTTTCCAATTAGTTTTATACATCTCGGCTCGTTTTCCCTAGAAATTTTGAATGAAAATTCTCGTTGTAGCCATCCTTCATCAGGCTTACGTGAGAGTGATCCAAAAGACTCAACCTAACCAACTCCTGACTTTTATGGTTCAAAGGTTTTAAGGTTAATTTAACCAGGCAGCACACTATATATGTACAAGCAGCGAATACGTAAGTGAATAGCTGAATTTCACTCGGGGCCCTTCCTGAAGTGACTTCGTCCGAAATTGCCTCTGACCTAACCTCGCTTCCAGGGTCTTTCTTTGAAGACAATATGCCTTGGAAACCAGGCTTTCCCTGAGCGCAACGTGAGCCTTGCTGAGCGCGGTTAGAGCGATGATTAGGATATTTCAGTTCAGTTCAGTTCAGTTCAGTTTATTCACACTTGTATACAATATTTACACTGTATATATTTCTATTGTCTCACTGCTATTGTATTTTTCCTTTACAGAATGTACAGATTTGGAGTTGTTGGGAAACATTCTCATTGTGGCAGATCAGGTGTTAAGTGAATCAAGAATTTATTTGATCGTTTAAAATGCTATTACTATAAGAGAAGATTATCTCAGCTGTAAAATTAAATTATTAAATAAATACGAGTGTCACTATGAACGCAACTCTCTTGTAAGTGGACATCTTTCCTTACGTTCGCCTTGACAAACCCCTTTTCATACGATAGCCGTTTATTACCACAACCAGCCAGTTGACACTTCTGCTTGCCGAGGTTGTTTGCTTAAATTAAATCCAAATTATTGATTTTTCAGCTACTGATTTGCCGACTGAAGGAGCTTTGCGAGGCGGTCATGGCAAATTTGGGTGTGTCCCTTGTTTATGGCTTTTTTGTGTATTTACTTTTTGTTTGTTTGTTTGCCTTTTTGTCACTTTTAATTAAGTATTTATGAAAATCTGTGTATTTGTCTATTTCTTTTTATTATTTATGGGTTCGCGTATTTGTACATTTATGTCTCAAATCTAACCTCACTATTGTGAATTATGGAAATCTTTCTCTCCTCCTTCCACAAATTTCATAGTTTTTGTGATGTGCATTCAAGAATTTAGACGTAGGTTTTCATATTTCAAGTGCCGATCTTCCGAATTATATCTCTTTATTAATCTTTACGAATCTCACTTAAGTCTCGCTTCAAGAAAATTATTTCTTATATTGCACTTAAATTATTATCATTCGTTTAAAAAGTCTGTCTTTTTGTTTTTTTTTTTCAGTGACATTAAGGAATGTTGCTGAGGTGTTAGAGTTCGCCATGCTGTACAACGCTAGCCAGTTGAGAGACGTTTGTACAGAGCTACTTACGAATAATTTAGCGACTGTTATAGAATCCAGGTTTGTAATGTTTAAAGTTGTTTGCCATTTTATTTTTATAAATTCCGCGTAGAAAGTAAATTCAACAACACTTTCAGGTTTTCACTGGAAACTCTCCAGGAGAAAGTAACCGATTGAAAATAATTAAGTTCTGTTTTCCCTTTTCCAAGTGGGAATGTCCCAGCTGCTAACGGTTCCACAGGTTTTGGCTAAACGGTTTAGCGGCTACCCTGCCAACAGCTATATTAAAGAGAATAAATAAAATATCTCAAAGTGAAAGTAAGTGATAATTTTCTTGTTAACTCTCAGGACGTTGGATGCACTGAGCGATGAAGCATTGGCAGAGGTTTCGAGAGCTTATCGGCGTTTGGTAGGTTTCCTTCTACATTGTGCTTCTTGATTCTCATTGGGTTTTTTAGTCCGGGTTTTATTTTTATGGGTGCGGAACGTTTCTTGACCCTGTTCTTCCCGGGTTTTTCTTCCTATTTGATAACCAAGTTCACAATCTTACAAAGAAAGCACAATTCTACGTTTTAGCTAGCCCACTCTGGAAACTCCTTTGTCGAAATTCTCTCTGTTACTTTATTGTATTCTACTTTATACTTTACATTCTTGACTTTTATTTCTTTTTTAATGAAATTCCCTTTTTATGTCAGGTTGCTGGCATGGCTTGGCGTGTGATAACCCCAGCAGATATGCCCGACTTCATTTTCAAAGAAGTTTCTGAATCGACCCCAGGAAAGCGAAGAAAGAGCGCGGGACGGAAGAAATCATCCAAGAGTGAGAGCGAACAAGATGCTAACACCCGAAACAATGTGCAAGAGGAAATTGTTAAGACTGGTACGCCTGTGATAACTAGTAAGCTTGCATTAAAGGTTAAGAGGTTGAAGTTTTAATAATAGTGAAAATTCGTGAAAAGTGCACTTAGCTTACACAGCTTGTTAACACAGGCACCCCACTCTAATAATTAGAGAACAAATATAGCATATCAGGATAAAGAGCCCCATCTGGCAGGAGACAACCAGCTGCCCATTTACAAGCGTGGCTGAGGATTTGAACTATTCCGATCGCGAACAAATCCAGCAAGTGACCAAGGCGAGATTAGAACCCGAGACACAAGCTCGCACGTTTTCAGTGTTTTTCGTTGTTGTTATGGTTTTCTGTTGGTTGTTAGTTCAATTTTAAGAACCGTGATTAATGCACTTGCATAGGTCTTGAAACGAGCGTCAAGTACGGTGATGAAGTGTTTGATCAGCCAGAGATAACCGAGGATAAACCTTCAGTTGTCAACCAAAGTGACGAAGCTACTGCAGACCCGGAACACCCACAACCGGATGAGAAACCAGTACAGGTATATAACTTGCCAGTTTAGTGTAGAAACTATCATGTAGGCATTTGATTGCTTATTCCAGTAGCCCGCCTCGCTCTTTTTCAGCACCTTTTCGTTTTGTTTTGTTTTTTTGTTTTTTGAAGATTTTTTGTTAAAAAAAAAGAAAGAAAGAAAAACTACCTTGTCTGTTTTGGTCGCGACAGTCCCCCCCCACCCCCCTCCTCCCTCCCAGCTGCGCATTTTTTCTAGAGTGTTGTGTGTCTTATTCATTGGCAACGTTTTTTGGCCTTTTTTTCTGCTGAGTTTTAAGATTTCTTTTATGTCGGGGCTGAAATACGTTTCACCAATTTTAGTCCAATACAGTTAATGGTCTGTGGTATCGCAAAGATGCACCCAAAGTTATTACCTCAAAGAAGAAAAATCGCGAGAAAAAACAGTCTCCTCGCCGGTCTGCAGAAGAATTAGAGGCTAAACAAGAAGCAAAGAAGGAGGTCAGTGTTGACATCAAGGTGAGAATATGCGTTTTAGTGAAAGGGATGGACACTGACTACCTCACATACGAGACGGACACGCAATCGAACTAATTTCATTCGCCAACAGACTTAGTACGATTTTGTTGTGACTTTGATTACAACTTTCTTGAGGTATTTGTTCACACGCCAATAAAAGGATTGATTTTCTTTGAAGGTTCCGTCGCTTGAGAAGCCAGTGTGGAGTAGTAATGCGAGGTATTTTTCTATTCATTTCTTTTTCGAAACCTTTCTTTCTTGCTTCCATGTACTCATATACATGCTTATAATTACGGCTGTCTAATTAGTTATTATTTATTAACTTTTTTTAAATATTGACTCTTAAACGTTCTGAACGTTTCTTACCTTTCTCCTAATATCTAGCGCAGCAAGTCCTCCCGCTACTAGTCTCAAAGACATCATTGAGCAGGAGCAGAACCAGGCTACCCTCCGTCTCGATTCCCCGGATGAGGTACATTTTACATCCGCCCTTGTGAGATTCTACGACAACTGTACTTGTTATGCACATGAGTGTTCGATTGGCACAATGACAATAGGTCCTAGCATACAGCGTTTGTTAATTAGATATTCCGTAACGCAAAAGCGAGAGTACGCTTACCCTTTGTCTCACCAACGCCCCAACCATTTTCCAAAGTCTGATAAATCTAAGATAAACCTGTGGTATGCTATTCTCTTTATTTTTTCTGCGACTTCGGTGGTTAGTATACTGTATTGTCTGTTTTATGAATAATGTGATCGTCGTTTTTGAGAGAAGAGAACTTTGGGTCGTTTGTATTAACTCTGTTATTACAGTCGAACCTCGCCTTATGTACACCTCTATAATACGGACACAGTTCTCTGTCCCAAAGACAACAAAACTCATACAACTTTCACCTTTATAATTCGGACACCTCTGTAATGCGGGCACCTTTGACATCCGTATTAAGGAGGTTTGACTGTACTGTCTTCCTGTATTGAAGTAGCTTACAGGCGAACCTCTCAAAACGGACACCTCTCTATTTTGCATTCAACAGCTCTCTTTGCCCCAAAGACACCAAAATTCATATAATTCCTACCTCTATAATGCGGAAGCCACTGTAATGAGGACACCTGGTCAGACCCCTTGATATCTATATTAAGGAGGTCTGACTACATATATTTTTATTTTATTGATTTTACAGAAAAAGTCCATGACGAAGAGGACCTCCAACAAGAGCCCGCCGAGTTCAGTGGTAAGGATTGCGACTTGACTTGACAACGTATTACCGCTTGGCTTTGCTCATTTCTCTACGATTAAAATCCTTTGTAAATTTTCAGGTCAATGTGAGTAGTACAATCGGAAATGTTAACCGCAGATCGCATTTCTTATTCTCTGTTTATAGAGTACGAATGTCTTGTTTTCAGTTTAGGCACCAGTCCGCCTAGTGCTGCTCTTTGGTGGAATTCAGGAGTCCGGCAATCACAGAAACAACGAAAGAGGTCAAAGTCCAGTACATCAGACGAATCAAGCAGCAACCTGAAAGGCACAGAAGGGAATGCAAGGGATGTGACCCCTGACGAAAGAAAAGATAAAGAAGCAGCTCCTGCATGGTATGTTCCCCTCCTTTCATTTATTTATTCATTTACTGTACGTCTTTGTTTACTGTTATCCACTGTGATTCGGCGAAGATTAAAAGGATGTTAACAAAGTTTACAAATTTACTTCTCCTTGTGGTGCGTTGGTTTAAGTATACCTTTTGTTTGAAAGACGAGACGCATCCGACAGTTTTCAGACTTCATAAACACGAAGTACGAGTTTTTTTTTTGGATTTTAAAAAAAAGTCTATCTCTACATGTGTTATGTTTATCTTCCCCAGCAAGTTGAAACTAATTCTCAGCCGCGTCTTATTAAATTTAAAAACAATCACTAAGTTCCGATTTCTTTTGTATTTTTCTCATAGACTATTAATTACCGTAAAATTCCGAGAATAAGCCCCGGGGCTTATTTTTTTCAAAGGCCCTTTTTGAGGGGCTTATATACGGAGGGAAGTTTGCGTTTCAAAATCGGCTAGGCTTATACTTGGAGGGAAATTTGCGTCTCAAAATCGATTAGGCTAGCTTATAGTTGAAAGGAAATTTATGTCAGTAATTTGCACAAAGGTTTTACGGTAACTCCCCTTGATGACGTAGAACTTTCTAAAAAGCAGCCATGCAAGCACTTTGACTATATGGACCGAGGAAATCCAAACCAGGAGTGTAGAGTGAACTACGCAAACAGCATTAAACTGTGACACTTTCTGACTGCAATCATTTGGCACATGTAATATGTGTTTGGCAAATACAAAAATTCTATGTTACTGTACCGTTTTTGCTCTGTTTTATTATTTCGTTTTTTGAGGGTAATTTCCAAATACAAGCCCCCGGGGGCTTATATTCGGAGGGGCGATTTAACGAAGGGTTTTTTTGCGTTCCGAGTCTGGGGGTCTTATATTTGGAGGTCTTATACATGGAGGGGCTTATTTTTGGAATTTTACGGTATTTAATTTGTTGTTTTTTGTTTGTTTGTTTATTTTTAGTTTGTTTACTTTTCTTTCTTTTTAAGGGGTGGAGTAGGTAAAAGTGTGGCTCCTGTACGATCGCTAAGGGATCTCATGCAGGAAGAAGAACAACAGCTATCTGGAAAGAAAGCAGAAACCAAAGAGACACCCTCTGCTGCCACATCCAAAGCCAACAAGTCTGGTACTCCAAGGAAAAA